CTATGAATGTATGTCAGCGTCCATGTGCTCTGTTCTCAGGCGAGACGGCCGCTGTGGACTCTGATGCTGTGTTCTGCCAGCTCTTCAGCCACTGTCCCACAGAGCAGTTCAACGAGCCCATGCTAGCCTTTGAGTTTGTCCAGTTCTGTCTACTCAATTCCAGCGTGCTGCAGGACAGAGTGGCCAACTACAGACAGAGTTTCCCAAACCTCCTGAAGGTGGGCTGGCTGACTCGCATTTTAAAGTGAATCCAGTTAAGTGATATACTAAAACGTTGTGCATTTTGCCTGTCAGTTTTTGGCGTGGAACAGCTCAGGATTGATTGGAGAGTTTGTGGAGCTGCTTCCGTCACTGGTAGCTCCAGATACAGCCATTGAGTTACTGCACACTATCCTTGATCTGCCCTGCTTAGCAGCAGCGCTGGACCTCCAGCAGAGGTGCGTCACTTTACCGACGACAGATCGGCGTTTTAACTCGAGTTGTTTGTGATGTGAATTAGTGATGCAATGCCGTTGCAGATCAGCGTGCTATCAGGCTTTGGACCGTACTGCGTGGGACCAGCAGGGGGCGAAGGTGGCTGCTTGTCTGGATGCCTTCCGCCAGCCGTCCTATAGGGGGCTCTTCCTCTACATCCTCAGACCGGAGGCTGGGACCGGAGACACTATAGACAGGTAATACCTGCCACATCATTTATAGAACACAATCTAGGAGCAATTCGGGAATTTCAAATGAGTTAGCAGGATAAGGATTGCAATTTGAGTTTGAGGTAGAATTAAAATGGAATGAAATTAAATGAAATATACAGAATCACACTACCGTTTAAAAGTTAGGGCGTGGTAAGATTTTGAAAGAAGTCTCTTATGGTTGCATTTATTTGGTCAAAAATACAGTAAAAACTGTATTATTGTGAAAAATGATTACGGTTTAAAGTAACTGTTTTCTATTTGAATATATTGTAAAATGTAATTCATTCCTGTGATGTTAAAGCTGACCTTTCAGCATCGTCACTCCAGGCTTCAGTGTCACATGATTCTTCAGAAATCAGTCAAATATGATGATTTGCTGCTCAAAAAAAATCAAATTCTTATCAATGTTGAAATCACTTGTGCTGTGCTTAATCAGGTCAGGTTCCTTTATTTATACCCGTAGGTAAATTAAGTTTTGGCTATTTCTCAAACATATAAACGAGACCAGCATACAGACAAAACAAGACACTATAAAAATCACACTAAAACAACCTACTCCATCTTAATAGTATTCATAAAATTAATCACTACTGGAACAAAGCTATTTTTATATCTTTTTGTTGTACACCGCAGTACTCTAAACCGTCTGGAACTCATAATACAGCGGATGAAGCTGGTCACTCAAGATTGAAATACCCATGCGTTGTCCCTGCCTAGTATACAGCGAGGCCGGGTTCAGTAGTGGTTCCCCAATTAACCTACTGGACCATTTCACAAACAAGTTCTGACTCTTTAAAGTTAGGTTCCCGTACCAAGATACCAAAGAAATCTAGTGTAATACAGTGTGTGTTAATATTTTTGTGGAGAATCTTCAGGATTCTTTAATGAATAGAAAGTTCAAAGGAACAAGATTTATCTTTTGTAACATTTACTGTCATTACTGGTCAATCTAATGTCATTGCTGAATAAAAGTTCTCATTTCTTTTCTTTTTATGTACTTACTGACCACAAACGTTTAAATGGGAGTGTATATTTGATCAAATTTGCTCTGATGGTCATAGTGTGATGGTTATACTATGAGTGTGATTGCTTAATAGGCTAAATATGCTTCATGAGATTCTGGCTGACATGGCGGAGAGTCCACGGGTCGTTCAGTGTGCTCAGGTCGTTCCTGTGCTTCTGCACGTTTACTTCAACACTGTCACTCAGGTAAGAGTCACAAATGAGAGGTCAAGCCATCTAACCCAGATCTTGGTTGTGTCATCTGTTCCCATGCTTTTTGATTGTTTTATAGAAAGCCGATGAGAAAATGATGAACCAGCTGCTGCTGGTGCTGCTGGAGAGAAGTAGCCTGCTCTTTAACATCAAGACATTTAATGCTGAGGTCCAAAAGTAAGGCACTTTTAAAAACTTAAAAAATCTTGCCACCTTCTTGTGAGCTGCCTGACTGTCTGCTGTCGACATACTGAAATAAAACCTCACAAGAGAATGATTTAAAATACAAAAGATTTGACTTATATACATTTGACAAGATGTGTGTATATACATTTCAACATAAATTCTACACGTGTGTAAGGTCATTGTGCATGAATTATTTGTGATTGTAGAGTGTTCAGCACACACCTGCAGGCTCTGTGCAAACTCCACCCACCACTGATTGTGGATCAGTCCTGGGAGATCCTGGAGTTTGCAAGCATCCCTGCCAACATTTACAGTAAAGAAGACTTCTACACACATGTGGTGAGGAGAAGTAGAGCACTGTGATTGTAAGTGTTGTCATGCTATGCTTGTTCTTCAGGTGACTGTATTTAATGTGTACACGCAGGTGTGGGTCATTGGGGAGTTTGTCTCGGTGTCATACGACCCTCGCTGCACGGTGGAACTGATCACCTCTTTTTTTGAGAGTTTGGAGGCGGTGCTGTTTGAGATCACGCAGGTGCGACAGTCAGCCAGCCCCCCAGGCTTCTCCCCCCGCCTCATCACGGTTCTCATGACGACCCTTGCTAAACTGGCCACACGCAGTCAGGATCTTATTCCAAGGTAGATCAACCTGCTCCAACACCATGGCTTTTTCATTACAAATTATATTACATATTTAAATGTTTTCCTGAAGACACTATACACTGATCATCCGATTAAAAAAAAGTGATGCTTTTTCGGATATTACCTTTCATGCAGTGTGCAATATAGCTGTTTGTGAACGTAAAAGTTCTCCAAAGTTTCAAAGATCAAAGTGTACGATAACTGGAGTTAATGTCTCCCAAAAGAAAGAACCGATTCTGAACTGCCTGCAATGAATCATCAGTAATTCCAGCCTTACTTCCTGCACGAACCTATGTAGGTTTGTAACAAATTTGGATAATGCAAGTCTATGGCCTTCATTGGCTTCCCCTGCACAATATTCACTTAGATGTGGTATTGGGAATTTCGTTTCCGACACACGCTGTAAGCGGTAGACCATTCACAACAGATTGGGCCGTCTGACCAATCAGAGCAGAGTAGGCTCTCACAAAGGAGGAGTTTAGAGAGACCTAATATTTTAACTAAACGTTTTAGACACTGTGAGAGAAGGGGTGATGCTATATGTATATATTATGCAAAAAAAAAAAAAAAGTTCTTTTATGCTTGTAAACCTATTGTAGGAGACCTCCAAAACAAAATTAAGAGCATTTAAAATAGCATAACAAGGGAACTTTAAGGTAACACAGTATTATGATTCAAGGGCATGTAAACTTATTTTTGTGTGTGAGAGTGTGTGTAAGTGTAAAATTATACACTGCTTGGCCAAAATTCACTGTTTGGACCTAAAATCTCTGCACGTCTTGATGGAAATTTCACAACATTTACTTCCATCAAGAACGTACATAAAGTTTTGCTCAAGATCTTATATTAAAAATCTTGTAGTATCAACCAATATTTCTATATCCCTCACTCTTTCCATGTCTATTTCCATTTCTCTCAGAGTGTCGCTTTTCCTGTCTAAGATGCGGACATTTGCTCGTAGTGGCCCAGTAATGGCGTGCTACAGTGAGGAAGACACCGAGGAGATCATCACACGAGCCCATGAACTTATTAACCTGCTCAAATTACCAAATGTGGCTCAGTTTGTCCTGGCCCCTTCAGCAGGAGGCGACGGCCCCCGCTGGCACAGAGACACCAACGCCTCACTTCCTCAGGCCATGAGAGCAGTCAGCGGTCTCCTCCACAGACATTCCAGCTTCCTGCCCACGTGAGCCAATTCTAGAAACTCGTTTTCCAAATAACTGCACAGAATACCAAGAGAGAGTTTCTAAAGGACACAAAGAGGGAGTGAAAGGAACTTTCACTTCTGCTGAACACATTCTTGTTAATCACAAATATATCAAAACAAACATCAAGACACAAGAGGTTTATGATTTATTCCTTGATTTATTCAAATTATTGTTAGACATTTTTATATAAATCAAACAATCTGGGTTTATTGTCAGATTGCATCTATCACTGCCATTTATGATTAATGTCAAAACTGTTAAAATACAGCTTAGATTCAGTTTTGTCCTTTTAATTAAAAATCTATGAAACCAAAGGAATTGATCATATACATGAAATTTGACACAGTCGAAATGTCTACACAATGTAGAAATGCTTATTGTCATATTAATGTGACATTATGACAAAATTAGTAAAAATTGTTTTACATTCAAAGTCAAAGTGCTTAAAAACATACTTGGTCATATCTGAGCTTCCTGGCTAAAACCACGGTCACACTAGACTTTGAGCACGCGAAATTTCTTCGGACACTGCAACGGTTGCACAATGATGTCACATTCTGCGCTGTCTTTTAAAACATATAATACGTCAAAAATGTAAAAATATGCAGTCTGCTCCACTTTAGATTTAAAGTTTGCGCTCTTTTAATTCACCTAAAAGGTCACCCTAATGCCTATCAATCTTCTATTGGTCAGAAATCTTCACATGATATGAAATCTAAACTTGAACTTTGGAACACAGCGAAATGCAAAACGTCTTCGTTTGAGCTTGCGCTTCCTGCTGTCTCCCGCATTCACATGCGTATAAATGGAAGTCAATGGAATGAAAAGTGTAGTGTGTCAAGAGGTAAAAAGTTTCAAGAACTACTGGACACAAGTTATTCATTTTGAACTGATCACAGCTGGGAACACATTAAGAACGACCACACAAAAAACTATCTGGAAATAAACAATTATTTGTCTATTAGTGTTAAAAGTGCTGTTTAGTTTCAGTGTGAGCCTCTGTGGGAGCTGAATGGACTTATATTCAGATTTATTAATTAATTATAATAAATCCTGTTATCCCCTCAAGCTTTCCACCTATCTCACGACCCCAGAGGATCCATTGTGCAACAATTACAAAGCCATTTCTAACATTTTTGTTCATAGTCGTTATTACAAGATCACAGTAGTAAAAATACTTCAACATAAATTCTGCTCAATGCCAACAACTGCCGATAAATTCACTTCTATCATATCAAGTGTTTAAAGGCAGTAGATAGCTCTATTAAAGGACATGGAATGTCTTCTGTATTATACACAATTTACCTGTAAACATTGACAGTTGAAACAGTACATTATGTCAACAGGTTAAGACTACATCTGTGAAAATAGACTGGCCACAAAGTGCTGAGTTATCAGGACAGAAATTCTTCTATATAAAAGTGTACCGGTATTTTAGAACAACAGTACTATAACATGCCCATCTATGATTAATATAGAGGGATGCAAAGGCAGCTCATGATCAAATACATTGTCTTTTATAGCTCAACAAACCCTGTATGTGTGAACACTTCAGGTCTTCAGCATCTGTCACCTGGATATTTTGATTTGGCTGGTCCCCGTTGCATACAAGTACCTCCAGATGGCGTAATAGTGTATGCCTGCCCCCACTGCCACAAAGACATGCCAGATGGCATGAGCGAATGGGATGAGGCCATCACTCTTGAAGAAGACAATTCCCAGGCAGTAGAAGACTCCGCCCACTGACAGCTCTAATATGCCCTCTCTGTTAGGCTGAAATAATACGTTCAGTTTAAACGGGTCACTCTACCACAGACAAATTACACAAGGGTCATTCCACAAAACACATGTGCATTCTCTCCATGTGTAAAATTTGTTGAAGAGAAAAATCCATTATGTAAATAATGTTGTTTTTTAATGTTTTTTTCCCACCGTGATGCCATTTTAATATCCACTACTGACAAACGGAACATGGTAAAGTGATAAAAAGGAATTTGAGTGACCTTGAAAAGCAAAATTATGTTATTATGACAGGTTTATGGTTAATGGAATAGTTACTTGAAAAGGAGGGAAAATGGTGATAAGATGGATGCCCATTTAATACAACTTTAATAATCATAAATACATTTTATATAGTTCCTTTGGCTTCAGAACTGGCCTAGATTCAACAAGGTGCTGGAAACATTTATCAGAGATTTTGGTCCATCTTGACTTGATGGCATCACACAGTTGCCAGAAAGGTGCTCCATTGGATTGACATCAACATAACACTATACTCATTTGAGTATAGTGAACTCGTTGTCATGTTTAACAAACCAGTTTGTGATGATTTGAGCTTTGTGACGTGGCGCGTTATCCTGTTGGAAGTAGCCATCAGAAGATGAGTACACTGTGGTCAGAAAGTGATGGACAACAGTACTCGTGTAGGCTGTGGTGTTTAAACAATGCTCAATTGGTATTAAGTGGCTCAAAGTGTGCCAAGAAAATATCCTTCACACCACCACCATCAGCCTCAACCGCTGATACAAGGCAGGATGGATCCATGCTTTTATGTTGATTACGCCAAACTCTGACACGACCATCTGTCGCCGAAGAAATCAAGACTCATCAGATCAGGCAATGTTTTTCCAGTCTTCTATTGTCCAATTTTGGTGAGGCCCTGTGAATTGTATCCTCGGTTTCTTGTTTTATCTGACAGGAGTGTCACCGGGTGTGTGTGTTCTGCTGCTGTAGTCCATCTTCTTCAAGGTTTGATGTGTTGTAGGTTCAGAGATGCTCTTCTGCCGACCTCGGCTGTAATGAGGTTATTTGAATTGCTGTTGCCTTTCTATCAACTCGAACCAGTCTGGCCATTCTCCTCTGACCTCTGGCATCAACAAGGCATTTTCGTCCACTGTCACTCACTGGATATTTTCTCTTTTCAGACCATTCTCTGTAAACCCTAGAGATGGCTGGGTGTGGGAATCCCAGTAGATCAGCAGTTTCTGAAATACTCGGACCAGCCCGTCTGGCACCAACAACCATGCCAAGTTCAAAGTAACTTAAATTACTTTTCTTCCCTGTTTTGAGTCTCAGTTTGAACTTCAGCAGATTGTCTTGACCATGTCTACATGCCTAAATGCATTGCTGCCATGTGATTGGCTGATTAGATATGTGTTAACAAACAGATGAACATGTGTACCTAATTAAGTGGTTGTTTATATATAATTCATATAATTATTTTTTTATTTATATATAATGACAATTTCCCTCCTTTTAAAGCAACTATTCCATTAACCACAAAACTGTCATAATTACATAAAAATGGTATCACATCTCAAACTCTTAAAGTCAAGCAAATGTCTCTTCTTCATTTTATTACTTTATCATGTTTTGTTTGTCAGTAGGGGATGGTATTAAAATGTTAGTAGTAAAACAAGTGATAATGAAAAGTATTCAATTGACTTTCTAAGATGCACCTTGTAGAATCAAAAGGCTTGTAACATATAAAATAATATTCTGTCAACCCTGTTGTCTTGCTGCATAAATATATCCCAACATATATATTGAAATGCATTCATTTAGATTAAGGTGACTCAATCACGTAATTTATTATGGACTGGTAAATGGACTGCATTTATATAGCGCTTTCACAGACCCAATGGCCACCAAAGCGCTTTACATTTTGCCTCACATTCACCCATTCACTCACTCATTCATACACCGACGGCGGTGTCAGCGATACAAGGCGCCATCCAGAACCGGGGATAGAATGTCTGATAGAATGTTTGAAATCTTCCAAAGATTTACTGAATAGGTGCTTGTCAATTGGAAGGCGGCATCCTGTGTCTCCGTCCTGCCGGGTATAGACACTAGGATGCAGCCTTCTGAGGCTTGTGGGGATAGAGTTCTCCTCAGCATTAACTGCAAGTTTAGTGAATGAGCAACGCTACGTCATAAATGTTCAAATTTAATTGTAGATTTTTTTTTCCTATTTATGCAATACAGTGGATTACAACTGTCTGTGGTTTCCCTGTGTTTTACATTATGGACAGTTAGGCATTAATTGATCAATTTAGAACAAAACAAAAGAAAACATAATGCCTTCATCTCCGAAATCATTTATTTGTCTTGCATTAGATAATGAAATTGGACGAGCTCAGTGGCGATTTATTTTCCAGCCGCTAATTGTTTTTCCTGCAAAGGACTGTGGATGAAGGGAGGACGTGAAGGATAGATTTGATGCATCCTTCAATATGCCGAATGAAGGTGCAAATCAAAGGCTCCTTTACATTAAGAATGCCGCCATGGAGCTTGATGATGTGGCAGCCTAAATATGCATCCGTACTAGGACACAGCCAAGTAAGCCTGATTCAATAACTCAATGAAAGACATTAATGAAGTAAAGACCTATTTGTATTTCAAAGTAAGGTATACTTTATGTTAATATCACTAACGGAAATGTTGTAAAATATAAATAAGCTGCTTAAAGTATCTCAAAAGCCTTCTGTTTTTATGAACACATGTTCAGGTGTCAGTCACACGTACCATTGACAGAAGAACAACTGCAGGAACAGCTCCCATGGCAGTGTAGCACAGTAAGTCTAGTATCTTGTTCCTGAAACATAACACAGCTGTTTTAAAGATATTCTGATGCGGAGTTGTTAATATTCATAGAACTATCTAACTATCATAGAATCTGAGAGTGATTATCATCTATGTCCTCAAATAAGTGGGCGCATACTTCTCATGAAAAAAGAAGACATAGGCAGAGCCAGCGCAGGCCATGATCCACACCAGCCAGCGCATGTGGACAGCCCAGGGTCCTAGTTCTCTCAGGTTCAGCCTGCACACAACACAACTCATCCCTGTGAAGCTGTAACACGTTGATGATGGTTATGAATATCCAGCAGACACACACATCTCATACTCACCAGGGTGCATAAGATGCAGCTATAAAGAAATATATCACCATCCTGTCGCACATGTGGAATCGCTGCTCCACCTTCCTGTTGTAGCAAGACATAAGAAAATGTTTTTTTAAATACTCATTCAATAAAAATCAATCTCCCATCTTTGTGTATCCTTCTGATCCTTACATCACCATTCCAAAGTTTGGGGTCGCTTGTTTTTTTAAAGAAGTCTCTTATGTTCACCAATGCAGCAAAAAGCTGAATTTTTAGCATCACTGCTCCAGTCTGCAGTGTCACATGATTCTAATATGCTGATTTGCTGCTCAAAAAATACACTTTATAATTGTTGAAAACAGATGTGCTGCTTAATATTTTTGTGTAAATCGTAATGCATTTTTTCAGGATTCTTTGATGAATATAAAGTTCAAAAGAATAACATTTATTTGAAATAGAAATCTTTTGTAACATTCTTAATGTCTGACTGTCACATTTGATTAGTTTAATGTGTCCTTGATGAATAAAAGTATTATTTCTTAGCAACCCTAACAACCACCAAAACAACATCCTAGCAACATAGAGCCTAATTACATTTGATTAATAAACAAAAAAGACTTGTATATTGCTTTATTAAAAAATCTCTTCCAAATCAATGTGTGTAAAATAAATGCAGGTGACTGTAGTGAAGCATGTTGCAACCCATTTACACAGATTTGAGTCCTGTTCTTGCTTAATGAGACTCTTTGTTATTTTCCATATGTATAATTTCCATTGGGCAGAGTCATGTGTGAATCACAGACAGATTGATGAAACTGACAGTGGCGAACATGAACTGGCAGGCCCATGTGAATGTATCTGCTGTGTCAATGTGGATTTATGTAAAACTGCGTAGGTGTCCTGCTCTGATGAAGATCCAAAGTTCATTCATAATGTTTCCACTAAATCTGCATTTGGAGCTGAAACTTCCTCCTGGCACAGAATATGCAAACATTTAGCATAATAGGTTAAATATTGCACCATTGACATATAAGAAGTTTGTACAACATTACAGTCTACCATGCTGCTGCTAATGTAGCACGAAACCACACTTTATCTGGGAAGAGTCATGATAAGCTGTGACATTAAATAATCAGACATCTGTATGACAGCAGAAGACATTACTCTTTGTTTTCTGTCCATTCAGGGCTCAATAATCAACATGTCGGATGGAAATATTTAATTTCAGGTGGCATGTGTTGTCACTCTGAAATTGGTTTGAAGATGATAAGAAAATTATATATACAGTGGGGAGAACAAGTATTTGATACACTGCCGATTTTGCAGGTTTTCCCACTTACAAAGCATGTAGAAGTCTGTAATGTTTATATAGGTACTCTTCAACTGTGAGTGACGGAATCTAAAACAATAATCCAGAAAATCACATTGTATGATTTTTAAGTAATTCATTCGCATTTTCTTGCATGACATAAGTATTTGATCACCTACCAACCAGTAAGAATTATGGGCTCTCACAGACCTGTTAGTTTCTCTTTAAGAAGCCCTCCTGTTCTCCACTCATTACCTGTATTAACTGCACCTGTTTGAACCCGTTACCTGTATAAAAGACACTTGTCCACACCTCAATCAAACAGATTCCAACCTCTCCATAATGGCCAAGACCAGAGAGCTGTGTAAGACCATTAGGGATAAAATTGTAGACCTACACAAGGCTGGGATGGGCTACAGGACAATAGGCAAGCAGCTTGGTGAGAAGGCAACAACTGTTGGCGCAATCATTAGAAAATGGAAGAAGTTCAAGATGACGGTCAATCTCGCTCGGTCTGGGGCTCCATGGAAGATCTCACCTTGTGGGGCATCAATGATCATGAGGAAGGTGAGGGATCAGCCCAAAACTACACGGCAGGACCTGGTCAATGACCTGAAGAGAGCTGGGACCACAGTCTCAAAGTAAACCATTAGTAACACACTACGCACGCAAGGTCCCCCTGCTCAAGCCAGCGCATGTCCAGGCCTGTATGAAGTTTGCCAATGACCATCTGGATGATCCAGAGGAGGAATGGGAGAAGGTCATGTGGTCTGATGAAACAAAAATAGAGCTTTTTGGTCTAAACTCCACTCACCGTGTTTGGAGGAAGAAGGATGAGTACAACCCCAAGAACACCATCCCAACCGTGAAGCATGGAGGTGGAAACATCATTTTTTTGGGGATGCTTTTCTGCAAAGGGGACAGGACGACTGCACCGTATTGAGGGGAGGACGGATGGGGCCTTGTATCGCCAGATCTTGGCCAACAACCTCCTTCCCTCAGTAAGAGCATTGAAGATGGGTCGTGGCTGGGTCTTTCAGCATGACAATGACCCGAAACACACAGCCAGGGCAACTAAGGAGTGGCTCCGCAGTGTTGTGCCTGAACGCGTTCATTGAACGATAGTTCATGAACTAGTTCATATTTTGGGCGAACGTGAACTGAACGTACTGTACAACTGCCTGATGAACGTTACTGTGAACTCGTTCATTCTGGTGTCTGTGAACGCACGCTCTCTCAGTTTAACTTCGTTCAATTGGGTGCCAGATTTCTATAGAGCCTTCCAGGCGAAAACCCGGCTAAAACACACCGTAAACAGGCCTTAATATGTAGCGAAAAAAACACCCAATCTGGCAACACCAGCCACCATGTCGCACCGCCGCATGCGTCATCAAAACAAAAAGGAGCATGTACGTAGTCGACAAAGCGTCGAGGAGGCGTCGTATGATCATTTAAATGAGTTTTATGACAAGGTCGGTGAGGATGGGAAAAATCTTACATTTCTGTGCAAACTTTGCCCGCCGATAAAATAATTGCTGTCTGTGGTTGTATATGGGCTGTGGCAATAATTAAAAAATAAATAAATAGCTCGCAGCAAAATATGGTAAAAAAGAACTATGAGCTGCACTAGTTCATTTTAAAATTTGTGAACTGAACTTTGAACTAGTTCATGTAGAAAGTGAACTTTCCCAACACTGTCCTGGAGTGGCCTAGCCAGTCTCCAGACCTGAACCCAATAGAAAGTCTTTGGAGGGAGCTGAAAGTCCGTATTGCCCAGCGACAGCCCCGAAACCTGAAGGATCTGGAGAAGGTCTGTATGGAGGAGTGGGCCAAAATCCCTGCTGCAGTGTGTGCAAACCTGGTCAAGAACTACAGGAAACGAATGATCTCTGTAATTGCAAACAAAGGTTTCTGTACCAAATATTAAGGTCTGCTTTTCTGATGTATCAAATACTTATGTCATGCAATAAAATGCTAATTAATTACTTAAAAATCATACAATGTGATTTTCTGGATTTTGTTTTAGATTCCGTCACTCACAGTTGAAGAGTACCTATGATACAAATTTCTACATGCTTTGTAAGTGGGAAAACCTGCAAAATCAGCAGTGTATCAAATACTTGTTCTCCCCACTGTATATATACACTCACCTAAAGGATTATTGGAACACCTGTTCAATTTCTCATTAATGCAATTATCTAATCAACCAATCACATGGCAGTTGCTTCAATGCATTTAGGGGTGTGGTCCTGGTCAAGACAATCTCCTGAACTCCAAACTGAATCTCAGAATGGGAAAGAAAGGTGATTTAAGCAATTTTGAGCGTGGCATGGTTGTTGCTGCCAGACGGGCCGGTCTGAGTATTTCACAATCTGCTCAGTTACTGGGATTTTCATGCACAACCATTTCTAGCGTTTACAAAGAATGGTGTGAAAAGGGAAAAACATCCAGTATGCGGCAGTCCTGTGGGCGAAAATGCCTTGTTGATGCAAGAGGTCAGAGGAGAATGGGCCAACTGATTCAAGCTGATAGAAGAGCAACTGTGACTGAAATAACCACTCGTTACAACCGAGGTATGCAGCAAAGCATTTGTGAAGCCACAACACGCACAACCCTGAGGCGGATGGGCTACAACAGCAGAAGAGTACCACTCATCTCCACTACAAAGAGGAAAAAGAGGCTGCAATTTGCAAGAGCTCACCAAAATTGGACAGTTGAAGACTGGAAAAATGTTGCCTGTTCTGATGAGTCTCAATTTCTGTTGAGACATTCAGATGGTAGAGTCAGAATTTGGCATAAACAGAATGAGAACATGGATCTATCATGCCTTGTTACCACTGTGCAGGCTGGTGGTGGTGGTGTAATGGTGTGGGGGATGTTTTCTTGGCACACTTTAGGCCCCTTAGTGCCAATTGGGCATCGTTTAAATGCAATGGCCTACCTTCAATATGGGCCAACATTTCTAAAGAATGCTTTCAGCACCTTGTTGAATCAATGCCACGTAGAATTAAGGCAGTTCTGAAGGCGAAAGGGGGTCAAACACAGTATTAGTATGGTGTTCCTAATAATCCTTTAGGTGAGTGTATATATATATGCTATATACACTCACCGGCCACTTTATTAGGTACCCCATGCTAGTAACGGGTTGGACCCCCTTTTGCCTTCAGAACTGCCTCAATTCTTCGTGGCATAGATTCAACAAGGTGCTGGAAGCATTCCTCAGGGAGTTTGGTCCATATTGACATGATGGCATCACACAGTTGCCGCAGATTTGTCGGCTGCACATCCATGATGCGAATCTCCCGTTCCACCACATCCCAAAGATGCTCTATTGGGTTGAGATCTGGTGACTGTGGAGGCCATTTTAGTACAGTGAACTCATTGTCATGTTCAAGAAACCAATTTGAAATGATTAGAGCTTTGTGACATGGTGGAAGTAGCCATCAGAGGATGGGTACATGGTGGCCATAAAGGGATGGACATGGTCAGAAACAATGCTCAGGTAGGCCGTGGCATTTAAACGATGCCCAATTGGCACTAAGGGGCCTAAAGTGTGCCCGGAAAACATCCCCCACACCATTACACCACCACCACCAGCCTGCACAGTGGTAACAAGGCATGATGGTTCCATGTTCTCATTCTGTTTATGCCAAATTCTGACTCTAACATCTGAATGTCTCAACAGAAATCGAGACTCATCAGACCAGGCAACATTTTTCCAGTCTTCAACTGTTCAATTTTGGTGAGCTCTTGCAAATTGTAGCCTCTTTTTCCTATTTGTAGTGGAGATGAGTGGTACCCGGTGGAGTCTTCTGCTGTTGTAGCCCATCCGCCTCAAGGTTGTGCGTGTTGTGGCTTCACAAATGCTTTGCTGCATACCTCGGTTGTAACGAGTGGTTATTTCAGTCACTGTTGCCCTTCTATCAGCTCGAACCAGTCTGGCCATTCTCCTCTGACCTCTGGCATCAACAAGGCATTTCCGCCCACAGAACTGCCGCTCACTGGATGTTTTTTCTTTTTCGGACCATTCTCTGTAAACCCTAGAGATGGTTGTGCGTGAAAATGCTAATCCCAGTAGATTAGCAGTTTCTGAAATACTCAGACCAGCCCTTCTGGCACCAACAATCATGCCACGTTCAAAGTCACTCAAATCAACTTTCTTCCCCATACTGATGCTCGGTTTGAACTGCAGGAGATTGTCTTGACCATGTCTACATGCCTAAATGCACTGAGTTGCCGCCATGTGATTGGCTGCTTAGAAATTAAGTGTTAACGAGCAGTTGGACAGGTGTACCTAATAAAGTGGCCGGTGAGTGTATAATATATATATGTATATATACGCATAAATTTATTAAATTCTTCTTTTGGCAGTTGAATCATTTTTTTAAATTACAGAAGACAGGAAACTTGACTAATTAATTAAGGAAATCTGTTTCACATCTATAGGCACTTTATAATGAGCGTGTTTGTTTAGTCATTATTGAATCCCCTAAGGCAGAAACATGTTAAACAAACTGCACATGCTCCATTTAAAAAACACAAAGTTGACAAATAACACACTTTTTTTATTCAAAGATCCTAAGATTTTAGGTTAAAATGTATATGAATGTATTATGGCATATGAATGTAAATGGGAATCTTATGTGCTGCTGAAGTTCTTTCCTTTCTGTTCTAAAATAAAATAGAACTTTATTTGTGGAAAACATTTGAATGTATCAGCAGCCATCATAGCTTTTTAAAATTATAACTGCATCACTGCTCCGTTATGACTCACCTGAGATGACTTTTCTTCCAGGACACTGTATGGAACATGGTGGACATGATGAACAGCCCAGACAGACCTGTACCATACATCCATGCAGAGATGGTCTCCCACTGGTCATCAGAGAGGAAGTACAACACTGAGCTGGCCATGATACTGGGAATGATCCAGAACTGAACAGAAGACAAAATCATTATGTATCTTTGTAGTATTTTCTTGAGTTATTAATGAATCGTTTTTTTTATGTGTTATAGCAGTGTTGGAGTCAAGACCAGCTCATTTGAGTTTGAGTCAAGAACCATCCACGTGCTCCTGAGTCCACAACAAGACCAAGACCATGAAAATATGTTAATTCCAACATCTAATACTAAGTCCAACATCATTTAAATACGGTGTTGGACCATTTAAATATGGTGTTGGACTGGTTCTTTTTTTTGTCTTATTGTGGACTCTGAAGCATAAAGCAGGAAAATATGGTATTGAACTTGGACACGAAGACAGAGACCATGTTTTTACGGTCATATTTTTATGGTCTAATTGAGGCCAAGACCATGAAAAAAATGGTCTTAGACTCTGACTTAAGGACCAAGACCAAAACCATGAAAATATAGTCTTAGATTTGAACTCAATGACCAAGACCAAGACAATTTTTTTATGATCTTGGTCTATGGATTCAGTAGCACGTGGACTCAGTCTAGACTCTGACTCAACCCTCGACTGGTCTCGACTACAACGCTATGTTATAGTAGCCTACTTAATTACAAAATTACCTAAAATGGCCAACCCCAGTCCTACATGATGTATGTCTGGTTTGCTAACTGGATTACAGTAATTACATCAGGAAAATTAAAAGTTCTAATATGTCTAGTCTGACCGACCCTCCTTTCATCTGTCACTGTGTATGTCTGATCAAATCTTCTTTAGGTGTCCCACGAGCCAAATTGATTTTCTACAGAAGCCATCTTTTTTTACAGAAGATTATAGACAAAGCCAGCAGTTATAGGCATTTACAGCATTTCTGACAAACACATTACAAAGTCAACAAGCATTTACAGGAAATGTTCATGTCTTGACTTCAATTTGTATCAGAGAAATAGATGCGTGATTGTGGCGAGCAGGACGAGGCCGAGTGACGTGAGAGATGCGAGACCGGTGTGTCTCACAGGTGTCGCTCATTACGACTCACGCCACCGGCCTCGCGCCGTCCTCTCACGTCACTCGGCCTAGTCCTGCTCGCCACAGTGATATTCTTGGGCTTTTACAGCCACATGTACCAAACGACAATGCACTGATGCAAAGAGGATTTGGTGTGTGGTCAATGTCTCGTGCTGTAGCATGTGAACTGGCCGTGCCAGATGTGCGGCTCAGAGAGGCAGGGATTAGAGAGTAGGAGGTTATCCAAACAACATGTTATCCCAACATGCCCATATAAAACACATGAGCATAAACGAAGACCAGAAGCAAGGCTGAACAGAGAACTGACACAAACAAATCACAGTATGAAAAAAGCAATGACCTGATGACTGTGCTCTTATGGTATTGTTAAACGATTGTAGCCTATCCATAAAATGTTCTTGTTTGTTGAACAATATTACATCACACAGTCTCTGTGGTTTTTTATGACCTTGGAGAACCTTCTGTGTCACATGACAATGGCATCAAAACTTTCCCTCTTGACAACGCCCTCTGCTTCTGCCAATATACACAGAACCAGAGGTCTTTATGCTAAATGTTAACCAACCCGTCCAGTTGGGGATTTTACACACTGTTAACAAGTACGTTATTTTCATTCAGGTTTCCCTACATTTTGTTTTGTCCTGCTTGTGAGATAAGAAGTAGATTTCCACTTACTCCATGCGTGGCACAGTTGGCTGCATGCTCATACTCAGTTGGCTGGTATCTCTTGCTAGATGGGACTCGGTTGTTCATAAACCTAAAAAAGATATTTTAGTGAATTTGAAGTGCTTAAATTTTGATACTGAGGGTTGAGCTTCAGTCTCAATATTTTCGGATGCATTGTTGCACTGTATATGGGATGTTACCCTATAGTAAAAAATAGCATTTATTTGATATAGAAATCGTTTGTAACATTATAAATGTCTTAACTGTCACTTTTGATCAGTTTAATGCATCCTTGCCCCCCCCCCCCCCATCTTCTTTAACTAACAGAACTGATGGCACAGAAAAAGCAGCACAGTGGTCAAACTCCTTTTCATTTCAGAAATTAATTTGGTCTATGAAACACATTAAGGATAAAGAGCACGTAATGTTCAGGTTCAAGAGCATTAGGTAACCCTCTTTGTGGCACCTCAAGGATTTATTTAATATGCATTCAGATCACATTTTTAGAATTTCCCTGTATTGCCTGGTTGCCTAGCATCTGTAACTACCTAACGGTGAAGCTAATCCTGTTCGGAATGAGGTCTTTTATGCCACTTACATTGAGCCGCTGATGCATTAGGTGATGATGTCATAGTCTCTATGCCAACCTGAGGCTTGGGATTTTCTTTTTTATTTCCCCCCAAACACTCTTTATCTGTGTGATTTAATTAATGTGCATGAGGACACAGGGAAGTGGGCTAGACTGCTAACCAGAATAAATGAGCCGAGCTCAGCGAGCTCTGGAAACCATCTTACTTTGCTTCTTGATTATATTTCTTGATTATAGCGTATTTCTAGCAGTGACCAGATTGATTGTCTTTAGTTGCAGTCTTTTCAAAGATAGTTCTGCCACTAAAACATACAGGCTGACTTAAAGGATTGACATCTCTTTTCAGAAACTTGCTTTCGTTACATTTTTATTCTGTTTTCTCTTCATATATATTTTAATGTGAATATTTGCTGTAAAAAAAACTGGTGATCCAGGTGTGATATAGGAACCACATTCACTGTCATATATTCAATTATAATGCCCGAATGCACCAGAGATGCTTGTTCATGCAGAATTTGCCTCACCAGAGTTATTGGATATATTTAGTGTCACTTTTCATATCACTGATTTTTTACTATATTCAGGGAAAATATTTACTCAGATGTCAGAGCACTGCAGGGCATCCTGTTCATTATCATGGATGAGTTCATTAAATTAATGTTTGGCGTCGCTCCAAGTCTCAGCACCCGGTGTGTGTCTCTGCTTGCCTTTTATAAAAGGAATTGCTTTTATATGATGGCATCTGGGGCTAAACTGGGAAACCAGCCTCATTGTAGCAAAGTCAGTTTGGCACTATAAGACACATACATTTACTTTTTTATAATACACTGTACAAAAATTATATGATCAATAAGTTGTGACAACATATGTTTTTACATTGCTTTAACTCATCAAAATAAGTTAAGCAATTTTAAACTTTTTTATGTTATACAATATTAAAAAAATGTTTTAAGTCCGTTTAATATAATTTAAGTTGATATTACTTAAACATCCAAGTTGATTGTACTTAAAAATTTAAAGCAGCAATACTTCTGAAAAAATGCTGTCTTCATTCTCCATATATTCAATACACCAATCAATCTAGTTCAATTCATTGATTCCCTGATTTGATTTCTGCCCCTTATGAAACTGTGAATGATGCATGACCACAAAATCTGAGATTCAAAAACAAAAAAAACAAAGGCATGTTTAAATAAGTAATTAATTAATAAGTTATATTTCAAATTCTCAAACTTCTCCACTCTTAGCAGAAATGTATAAGAACACAGGAACACATCATGAGAACATGATAATGCCACACCATGAGGGTAAAGGACAATGAGACACGTCAGTGGCCCTTCACTAGAGAAAACGGATTTGGATGTTTGCACTTCACAGAGTCTCTACAGCAACATGATACACAGTGCTGGTATTGGGTTTAAGCCAAGATGACTGCTCATGCATAATGTGGGCCTACATATTAGTTATGGCACCAAACATTGCATTCCAACATTTTCAGGCTGGCCTCAAGTTCTTAATTTTCCATGCACACAGCAAGTGCATTTTGTTGCATAATGCTCTGCCAAATTGCAATATCACCTTTTTGAAAACCACTTTACAATGTTAAAAAAAAAAAAAATGTTGTTTGCAATATTTACCTGCAAGTAATCCAATATTTCAGTCATTATAAAGTTGCTTATGGTCCTGCATATGAGGTTTTGGTCAAACCTCATCCATTATCCTTTCATATTCTCCAGCTTCATGAAGGCCATTTCTTCTATGAGCACAGACAATTAACTGAGTGACTGTGTGTTAATTGCATACGACAGAGGCCAAAATATCCCTTCCAAAAACCAAACATGCACTTAGATGGCCACAATACAAGTCTCTTGTCTCTGAAACAAGGAGGATCCAAACCAAACAGTCACAAGGGACAAAAATACACACAGTAGGATTCATTTTACTGTACTTATGAGAGGAGATTGAAGGGCACCCTGTGTCTGACCTTTCTGAGAAGACTCAGAGATTAAATGAAAGTGATCAGGTGCTGACAGGGTTAGGTTTAACTTTATGACTCACCTGACCTGAGAGTTATCAATTAAGAGGAAACACCGTAACAGTGTTTAACTAAATTCATCAGTTTAATTGATAAATGATGTCCTTTTTAGTCTATGCTCTTTGGTTAATATTTATGTATGTTTCACTATGCAATATAAGTCTCTGTTGTGGGAGCATAAATGAAATAAAGTGGTTAGTTGATGTTATTATGTTGAGCATTGAAATGCTCAACTGAAATGGACATAAAATTAAAGAGGGAACAAAAATATAGCATTTACACACAATCCCACCAAGTCAAAATCCTCTGGGGGCAAAGATCTCAAAAGGCAAACACAAAGCATGTTTATGTGTGCCAGGTTTGTGACCTGACATTGACAAATCACACAAAACTATAAACACTTTTAAAAATATTCTAGTCCCATGTGACAAAATTTCATAATAATTATGTTCATGTTCTGAATTTCTGAGAAAACCATGTGACATGTGACAATTTATGGGTAAACAGAATGATTAAATGCCATACATAACAGGGTTTATTGTTAAGCAAATTGGTACTGATATATGAGGAAAGTGAATAATCATTTTCCGCTCAGATTGAATGTTTATGTTCAGTTTATGTTAGCGTGCAGGAAAACACTTTTTTTGCCACATGAAAATCCATAAAGAACTGCTTTCAAACGTGCATTTCCATATAATCATTAAATCGCGAAAAGCAATGCAAAGTTGATTCTGTGCTAATTTGATCTAATATTTAATGTTTTTAAAATTGCTGTAGATTTATGTAGAAAATGAGAATTGATCAAATTAATGTCTATATTTTGAGGTCTTGAAAATGTTTTTCAGGTTTGTTCAAGGTAAATAAAGCAACAGTTTTTCAACAACGGAAGAATATGTTAAAGTTTGGTATTTGGGGTAAAAGGTGCCCCTGTTGTTGAGGCAAAAGGCACAATAATTTACATGATAATAAATATCTGGCTGACTTTTCCATTTGTTGACATGACATAGTTAGATATCATATCAAAATATCATATTTAGTTGTTCATACTGTAAAGGTAAATTGTTATGGGATTTCATTCAATGTATTCAGAATCTTTACTTTTTAAAATAAATTTGTTTCTGTATTATTAAAATAAACATAATTGAATGACAGTATTTATTGAACAAAAATATTATTTTACAGTAGTGGATCAAAAAAGTTCATCAATGTTGTCCTAAGACAAGAACAGGTATTGTTAAAAATTCATGATGAAAGCTTTTGATCCACTTCAAATGTTGACTACTGTATAAAGTCTATTTCTATCAATACTGTGTGACTTTTGCCCCATGCTGGTGAGCCTTTTACCCCGTGTGTGGGGTAAAAGGCCCCCCTCACCACCTCATAGATTTGCAAGATTTACAAGATTTTTAAACAAACAAACAAACCATTTTTATGATTTATTTTCACACAAAATATGTTGCTCCATTAAAGTCCAATAAAAACATATATATTTTTCTGCGATCATACACAATAGGAGGAGTGAAAAGCACATTTTTCTTAAGGTGTGCCTTTAGCCCCGTTGTACCATACATGTAGGCCTATTCCCTAAATTGAAGAAATGTTTTAGCACAACATACAAACATGAATGAACAAACAATGTTTAATGTTTAAAAACAAATTGCAATCCATATATCATTGTGTGTGTGTGTGTGTGTGTGTGTGTGTGTGTGTGTGTGTGTGTGTGTGTGTGTGTGTGTGTGTGTGTGTGTGTGTGTGTGTGTGTGTGTGTGTGTGTGTGTGTGTGTGTGTGTGTGTGTGTGTGTGTGTGTGTGTGTGTGTGTGGTCTGCAGGAAATCCTCACCAAATGCACAACCAAAGTTGAAGAAGTGCAGAAATAAAATGAAAGCAGAAGTTGACAGAGCCTCAAGATTTTTCCATGAATAGACACAATGGCTTCTTCAAACATGTTTGCACTAATGCTTGTAGCCTATAGACCTACCTCCGTCTCAAACTCTGTTTCACATTGTTTTATAGCCTATTGCTATATAGTATATTAAATATATTGTTATTATCAGCTTTCATTCTCATTTCAATGGTGCTTTTCTAGGAGAAAACATAAATAGCCTATTTAAAAAAAAAAGATTCCTCAGCAATATTAAGAAAACAATGTTATAAACGTTATGCAGATGTAATTTACCTGCCGAACTTCGTCCTCCTAAAGTCCATACTGTGCATATTTGTACATGTTCGCTGCGTAATTTACTCCAGGGTAGACAGAGTGACTACTTCCAGTATCAGCGACGACCAAACTCCGGATGTTTCAGAGCCCGTAACTTTGAAGGAAGCAGGAGACAACTGCCTCTACAAGGCACGTGAAGACTTGAGTCGCTCGGGAACGCGCACGCGAGCAGAACTTCGAGAAGCGGCCGCAATACACTGACCCTAATTTTTTTTTCGGAATAATCGTAAACAGCGTCTCGCGACCCCTCGCGCTGTCAGGAATGCCACTGTGCGCGCAGAATCCCATCCACGCCCCTTTGCTTCCTTCAAAGTTAACTTCAAAAAGGCTTCAGGCAAAAGTTTTTCCCATCGCTTGTCATGATGTAGCGGATATTTGCTTTAGAAATGCGCAAACAAACGAACCTCTCTGAGATTAAACTGGATCTGTATATGCACGCTATTTTGTGAACCCTTTTTTGTGAACTTCTAGTATTCCAAAAACATATAGAACTATACAATATATATATATATATATATATATATATATATATATATATATATATATATATATATATATATATATATATATATGAATGAACATATATATATATATATATATATATATATATATATATATATATATATATATATATATATATACATATAGCCTATATATTATTTCTTATTACTTATAGTAATAGTGAATATTAGTCCATTTTTGTTATGTTGTAAAACATAAATCCCAAAATGACAAAGGTCAATTAAGTTTTTGTTCAAAAAAGTTTTTTTTTTTTTTTTTTTACCTGAGTATATATAGGCATACAGCACATTTTCTCTCGACGCAGTGAGGGTTGGTTGGTACTTATAGTTATAGTGAACTATAGTTAACACTATAATTTTGACATCTCAGAGACAAAGCGCACGTAGCCATCTGCTGGTTAAATAAGTTAGCAACATTTAAATCTGCATCTCATCCATCATGATTGAGGAGACCACGACGGATAAGACTCAAGATGTCTTTGAATTTTTTAAATGGGACAAAACAATAAAACATTTAAATAAGCTTAAAATAAGCTAAAACAACTACAAAACAAGACATTTCTTGTTTTAACCCATAAAGCATGACATTAAATCATTGTCAGAAAAATCTAAATTTTTGGAACCTTTCCTGTCCTAAAAAGTGTTGTTACAAAAAAGTGTTAGTTTTGTAAAAAGTGTTGTAATTATGTGAGTTGACATAATTGACACTATTGAGTTGATCCAAATTTCTGGTCCTTGCACATTATTTCCTATTTGATTATTTGCGGATGACCATGAGGAGACATCGTCATCCGCCAATAATCAAATAGGAAATATTGTGAAAGGACCACATTTATTTTTCTCTGTTAGCATTCACTCATTTCCCAATGTTCCTTTGGTTGGTCACTTGGAACTTCGTTTATATTATTATTATTCTCTTCCCATTGATGCAGCGATGCAACAAGAAATCAGTTATTTGGTTTCAAAGGAAGAGAAGTTCTATACATGTATGTATAAATGAATGATGTATTACATAACTATATTTCATGTCAAATAATGATCTTTTATAATTTTGTTGCTAACACTTATGTCCTAAACTGTACACCTTGTGAAACTTTTAATTGGGTTTATATAATCCCTCTATATTTGTGACAATCTTGCAATTGATCATGATCATGCAGACTTCAACATTCAGCATGCAAAACACAACAATGGTAACCATTATATATATTTTTAAAGTAAATTATCAAATGCTCATACAGGTCTTTTTTACTCTTGAGTAAGTGAACTATACTAACTAAGCATTTGTCAGTATCACATACTATTCCTATTTCACTTTACTTGTTTTTTTTTTAAGGCAATCGGTTTTAAGTAAGTCTAATTAATTATATTTTACAGTGAATGACTGCGACCACTGATTTACACTGGATGTGCTGATCCCATTCAAATCAACACTTTTTGACTCTGTGGCCCATATTGCTCACACCCGAGGAGGTAAAAAAAACACATCAGTTTTATTCAGAGGCCCAAACTGGCCCAAAAAAAGTTGTCATAGTATTACATTTAAATGCTTAGTTAAAGCTCTGTAGTTTTTGATGATTGAAAAATACAAATAGCTAAACATTACTCTAAAGCCTAATGTGCCATATTTACTTACATTTTAACATTATTTTTTTTCTAAATAAATCATGTATGGATACGTTTCTTTAGTCCAATGTTCATATTAAAATATTAACAACAATATAAAAGTTATTCTACAACCTAGAATATACATTTTACAACCATTTTTTTTAACTAAAAGGCCTTTCACTTATCAATCAGAGGGCATGCATTTGCAGATTGTGTAAAACCATTTTTTCAGCAAAGTTTTAATTAAAAATAATTAGAGGCCTTAGAAATTCATTAGAGTAAAAAAAAACACTGTTCCTTGAAAGCAAGGTAAGTCGTCGAAGTAGGATGCCCCCTGGGCCAAGATGACCCACCACCTTAATTTACAACTAGAAATGTTAGCTAAAAGAGTTTTAAAGATCTATATGTAAACTGACATTTAGTCCCTTTCAACAAGTTGGCTGTGGCTTTGTAGCCTCCTATGGACACGTGTTGCAAATTAGCAGTTTTGCTATAACACTAAAAACAATGTATCTGGTTTGTCCAATGCTGTTGTTATGTCCATATCAAATAAAGATAAAAAATAAATAAATAAATAAATAAAAAGTTCTACTGAAGAACACACTGTTGTGTGTTTATAAAAAAAGCATTTTTTTTAAAAAATTGCTTTTCCCTTTAATTTCGACGGAGTATTAAAAAAAAAAAAACATTGCCTTTCCCTTTAATTTGGACGGAGCTGGTGCGTGCAACAGCCACTGCGCATGCGCACGAAAAGGTGCAACAGTGGCTGGAGAAAAACAACAACATTCATTGGAACAAGAGGGTGGAACTTATGGCAGTGCGAGACGACCCCAGATTTCACTGATCTAGTCCACATCTGAGCCCTTTTTTACTTCAGCTTTATCTGTAAATGTTGTCGAGCCCATGAACCTGGCCAGTCAGAGCGGAGAGGCCGGCTGCAGCCAGCTGCTCTTCGCCAACTTTAACCAGGATAACACGTAAGAAAACAATCACACTGCTGCTGCTGGCCTAACAGCCCATACACGAAAACAACACACTGTTGTCGGTGTAATCAAGGAATAATTTGCACTGTAGTCGCGCGAAGCTTCGTTTGTTATAATGGGAGCGCCTTTATCTCTGTGTCGTCTCTCGTCGCTCGCGTGCAGTGCAGATAGGATGACAAAGCGTGCTGCTAACCAGCTAAAACACTGACTGCTATTATTTCCCTCTGTCGGTTAGAATAAGTTGGTGCCCGACAGTTTCCTCTGATGTGGTAATGCAGCCTTGCTTTTATTAAATCAGTCCCCAATTCTGCTCATGTAAAATAACGTCAGACAAAAATTCACGCACGAGACGTGTAGCACTAGCGTCCATGCTAACAAAAAAAATGATGTATTTGTACTTCTGCAAAGCTTTACGCTAGCCTAACGGTGTGAAATATTTAAATTCGTAATGTAAAACAAAGATTGGTTGGATATCTTATTTAGGAAGTGTTAAAAAGAGCTGTTAGCTGTGTTTTACAAAGTAGGACGACACAGCAAAAGTAGCTCAAATGTTAACAACAATCGAGTAACGTAACTTAAATGCCTTCAAACTAACATTTGATTCTGAGGGTTTTTTTATGTCTGATGTCTGAAAGATAATTTTATATTTAACTTTCTAAATCATGTAACCAGCGAACCAGCTGACAAGTTAGTCAAAGGTTATTGTTTAGACAACACTGCCAGTGTTTTTATAAGCTATAACAGCTGCTACATTTCTACAGAACATATAGAAAACTACTCTAAAATAGTTTAATGTCTCCTGCCTTTTTATATTCAAACATTGCACCACAAGGATTGCAAAATGCCCCTTTAACACATTTCACCATCATGTCAACAACCTGTTTTAGTCATTAAGCAAACCAGTAGACCATTAAAAAGTGGATTTGTGTACTGTAGCAATTGATTATTGTTACCTCTTTGCTTTCCAGATCCCTAGCTGTTGGTACCAAGTCTGGGTACAAGTTTTTCTCCTTGTCATCAGTAGACAAATTGGAACAGATCTATGAATGTAGTAAGTTATTTATGTTTTAATCACTGTCAACATGGCTACTCATGCCTTTTGGCGTGATACGAGTTGATTGAAGGGGCTGATAATGTGTTTCTGCTCTCTCTTGAGGTCAGAGATAATCAGAGGCGTAGAAACTATTTGAAAAGTGACAGTCCTTGAAAATGATTAAAATGGATAGTTCTGGTCCTGGGTGCTGATTAGCCAATGCAACATTTTAGATGTGCTGAAATTGTATCCATGGAGGCCAACTATTAACCTGACTTTTAGATGTCAGGGACCATATATATCTTATACCGTAATTATGGCACTTCATCAATTTGCTTAATAAAATAATGTTGTACATTTAAAAAAAAAAAAAAAAAAAAGTAGTAGTAAATAATTAATGACTAAATCCAGAATAAAGCTTGTCTTCCTGACTGTTGTGGTTTAATCTTTAAAAAGTAATGGCCCTGGATGTAGGCTTTTCAAAGCATCCAGTCAGAAATTGTTAGTTATAATATTTGATACGCCCTTGGAATCAAAGGGCGCAGGATGACTTAAAAGTCATACGACATGTTTTATTTTCTTGTGTATTTGTCCTCAGCCGACACAGAAGATGTGTGCATCGTGGAGAGATTGTTCTCCAGCAGCCTTGTCGCTATTGTCAGCCTTAAGGCACCTAGGAAGCTGAAGGTCTGTCATTTCAAGAAAGGGACAGAGATATGCAACTACAGCTACTCAAACACTATACTGGCTGTGAAACTAAACAGACAGGTGAGTCAGCAGACGTCCTCTTCCTGTGACGCATGTTTCCTGTATTGTATTTATTTTATTAAGCGTGATCAGACCATCTGAGAATGTTGCAAACCTGCTTTATTTCCACAGAGATTGATAGTGTGTTTAGAGGAGTCACTCTATATCCACAACATTAGGGATATGAAAGTACTACATACCATTCGAGAGACCCCTCCGAATCCTTCCGGTGAGTAACGCTGCTTGCCGTCAGTACATCATTGTTGTTTATACCAGACTTTTCATGTGGAAGTACATGCAGCAGGTTCTTCTTTCATGTGTAGGTGCTTTATTTATATTTGGGGAACTGAAAACGTAGGCAAATGATGTAGCGACCAGATAGTAATGGCCTTGTTGTTATAAGAATTCGTAGTTGCCATACAGATTTTTAATTTGTGATTATTAATATGTCACTAAACATCTATAGGACTATGTGCCCTGTCAATCAGTAATGACAACTGCTACTTGGCCTACCCGGGAAGTGCAACAATTGGGGAGGTACAAGTTTTTGATACGGTCAACCTGGTAAGTGCTATTTAGTTTAAAGATTTGCAAGATTATGGTTTTAATGGATTGTGTTAAACGCAGTTTGTCAATGTATGTGTGATATTAATCCCCAGAGGGCAGCTAACATGATACCTGCCCATGATAGCCCACTAGCAGCACTGGCGTTTGATGCAAGCGGGACTAAATTGGCCACAGCCTCTGAGAAGGTACAGCTTTGTGTGTGTGTGTGTATACAGGTTTGGCTATACTTGTGAGGGCCAAATGTCCTCAATTATATAGTGAAATATCATTACAACTGATTAGTAAGGACATTTTACTGGTCGTTACTAGCTAAAAAGGCACATAAATTGGCCAAAACTTGTTTTTATATAAATCTAGTGTTTTTCACCTTTCTGTGATGGGTAGGTGTAGGAGTAGAGGTTGGGTTAGGTGCTAGAAAATATCATTAACCTGAATTAAATTAAATGGAAGTCTATGTCCCCACTAATATAGTGAAACAAATGTGTGTGTTTTAAAACACTCATTGGGTCTCATTCATGAAACATTCGTAAATATACGAGTAAATATGAGAGTGATTTGCGCGTTAAGAGACCTTCCCGAAAACTCCCGCCCATTAAATCCGACTGACAACTATATATGGGCATCATATTTTGACACCAAACGAAGGATTTCAACATATCTTCTCAAAAGCGAATGAAAAAGAAAAATTTCTCAGATGCAGAAATCGAAGTTTTATTATCAGAAGTTCGTTCAAAACACCACATTTTATTTTCAAGCGTAGGCTACATAGTGGCATACATCAGGTCCTAGAAAAAAGCAAGCTCGGCAGCATATTACAGATGCAGTTAATGGAGTTTCATCTGTTAATCAAACAGTCCCAGAAGTAAAAAGAAAAACCGTATGTAATTACTATATATAATATTTTTTCAAAATGCTGTGTAAATATGTACCCGATTAAGGTGAATTAAAATGCTGGCTTAGTTATTAATGAGCAAAACGTTCGGATGTTAAACTCACTATTTACAGTGCAGGTGTAGATTTCTTGTGTACCAACTAACATTTGGAAAATACGAACATTTTAATGAATCTGAAAATTTACGCCAGAACCACTTTACACACAATTTACAAATTCGTTCTGCTCATGTTTCATGAATGACACCCATTGGGTCTCATTCATGAAACATTCGTAAATATACGAGTAAATATGCGAGTGATTTGCGCATAAAGAGACCTTCCCGAAAACTCTTCTCCTGATTCACAAATACTTCGTAAACGTCAGATGTGATAGTGAAATGTGTGTGTGTGTTAAAGGGGTCATATAATGCCATTTTTGTACAAGCTAATATGATTCTTTAGAGTCTAAATTAAAACTTTGTAATATACTTTAATTAAAAACTCTCATTAGTATTGTAAGAAAACACTTATTTTACCTGGTCAAAAACAGCTCTGTTTTCAGCACGCCGTTTCAGTGCATATGACTTTAAATGATAATGAGCTTCGCTCACCCCGCCTCTCTGTTCTGTGTGTACACCGTTTGTAACACAATAACCATAACGCGTTGTTCATTATAGACGTGGGATTATGAATTATATTGAGAACGTCAATATAATATTAAATATTAAAGGTTAATAAAACGTTACACTCACTTCAGTTATTTTGGAGGTTCAGCAGGAACACGAATATCTGGTACCGATCCAGGAGCAGCTTCTTAGCAAAACCAGCTTTATACTGACCCTCCTCGTTTATAAGCAGTCTGGTGTGTGAAATGATTCGCGCAAATATGAAAGCATTGACGTTGCTCGTGGGGAATATTCCCTTCGAAAACAAACTCAGCCACTGCGTCTTCAGCGGTTCGGATTTAGGAACATTAAAATGACTGCTGTGTTCGTTATTACACCCAAGAACAGAACACCACAATCGCTTAGACGCCATTCTGCTCATAGACAGTGCTCCAGCATATCAACAATGACCGCGCCGGTCCGCGCGGACTATGATTGACAGCTCTCTCACGAGCGAGGGCAGGTCTGTGTTGAAACGCGGCTGTCATTCAACAATCGTGGGAGGGGCGTGCGGGCTTGTGACGTCACAGGCTCGAACTGCTCGATTTGAGGCAGGGGAAAACATATAAGGAGATTAAAACAAAAACACTGGATGGATTTTTATCATTTTATGATGTTTGTGTACAGGCACTGCCAACACACATTTCAGTACAATCAACTTGTAAAAGTGCATGTACCATTATATGACCCCTTTAATGAATTCCAATCAGTCGTAAATGGGATGCGCGTGCACGTTCATTCTCAATTACCATAAATCCCGCCCATTAAATCCGACTGACAACTATATATGGGCATCATATTATGACATAAATGTGAATGAAAAAAAAATTCTCAGATGCAGAAATTGAAGTTTTATTATCAGAAGTTCATTCAAAACGCCACATTTTATTTTCAAGCGTACATAGTGGCGTATCGGGTCCTAAAAAAAGGAAGCTTGGCAGCATATTACAGATGCAGTTAATGGAGTTTCATCTGTTAATCGAACATTCCCAGAAGTGAGAAGAAAATGGTTCGACATTAAGCTTGAGAGCAAAAAACGAATTAGTTCACTTCGGAAAAATAGTATTCAAACTGGAGAAGGACCACCATCGCAGATGCTATTACTGGCTCTCATAATAAGAAAAAACGTATGTAATTACTATATATAATATTTTTTCAAAATGCTGTGCAAATATGTACCCGATTAAGGTGAATTAAAATGCAGCCTTATTAATGAGCAAAACGTTTGGGTGTTAAGTGCACTATTTACGCGTGGCTGGGAGCAGGTGTAGATTTCTTGTGTACCAACTTACATTTGGAAAATACGAACATTTTAATGAATCCGAAAATTTACGCCAGAACCACTTTACACACGATTTACACACACATTCGTTCTGCTCGTGTTTCATGAATGAGACCCATTGAGAGTATATTTAAAGTGTGTGATATGCCAGTATTCACATGATTCACTTGTAATTAATTCAGTGAATCAATTCCAAACTCTGAACTATTTGTTTGCTTTGTCAATCACAAATGTTCACAATTCTTCATTATCAAAAAAAGATTTTTGTAAAAAACATATGAAGGTAACTATTGGTCTTTATTACTGTGTTGTGTTGGTTAATAGTTCAAGTAAAAGATTAAATGTCATTCTTTCAAAACAACTTGATTGTTTTAATTAGATCTTTACTTTATGCACTTTTTGGTTGAGGAAAATTAATTGTAGCAAAATTCGCCCAACTATAAACACTACCTTTTAAAAGTTAGGGGGATTTTTATGAGATTTTTTGTCTTCATCACTAGCTATTTTTTCATTCACCTATTTTTATGTGCATTTTGGGATATTGTATAAAAAATGCTGGATGGAAACTCTAAGATGCGCATAAAAAAAAGTTGTGCACTCAATGGAGGCGGATACTTTTTTTTTATCCAATAAGAAAACATGCGCATGATCTACGATGAAAACACTTACCCAATAAATCCCTCAATGCGCAACAAAAAAACTCACATGACTCTGCCTCAACAGAGGATGTGATTGGATAACTGGACTAACCAGCGGATAAATTTCATTGTACAGCATCTCAAATGTTGGTTTGATCATCCTAAAATGCCTGAGCTAGAGTCTGTCCTTAGAATGATTTAGTTTAATTCACTCACATAACTGTCTCACTTGATTCTGTTCCCAAACACCAGCATCCTAAATGAGATGCAAGTCATTCATGATGGTGGGAAAAAGAGCCAAAGTGGCTTCCCCGATTGCAGCAACTTCCAATTTTATTACAGATATTTTGCACCAGTTTCCCAGGAAGTGACTTTTTTTGTTCTCTTGAACACATGGGATGGAAACACTGCTTTATTCGCAAATGTTTTATGCAGTATTTCAATTTTGCACATAAGTTTAGTTAAATTCGCAACTTTGGAAGGAAACATAGCTATTGATAATAGCTGTCCAAACACCGAGTTGGAGTTTCAAGAAACTTAAAGGCTTTTTTTTTTTTATATGCAGTAAAAACAGTAAGATTGTGAAATAGTATTACTATTTAAAATAACTGTTTTCTATTTTAGTATTTTTAAAAGGTGATTTATTCCTGCAATGCAAAGCTGAATTTTCAGCATCATTACTCCAGTCTTCAGTGTCACATGATCCTTCAGAAATGATTATAATATGCTGATTTGCTGCTCAAGAAACATTTCTTATTATTATTATTAATGTTGAAAACAGTTGTGCTGCTTCGAACAACAATTATTTGAAATATTTTGTAACATTATAAATGTCTTTACTGTCACTTTTGGTCAATTTGCTTCCTTGCTGAATAAAAGATTTAATTTCTTTAAAAAAAAAATCTTACTGAATAGTAGTGCTTGCATATTGTCCATTGTTACATTTAAAATAAACCTTCAGTATTTAAAGGTGCTGTTTAATTTTTCAAACCCTCTCTTTGGTGTTTTTTTAGGGCACCGTGATCCGTGTGTTCTGCATTCCCGAGGGCCAAAAGATCTTTGAGTTCAGGAGGGGAGTAAAGAGGTAGTTAGCTATATTCAATATGTTTTGTATTTATTCAAATAGCCAGGAATTGTAATAAGCACACATAATGAAAACAATGCACTTACTGTAATAATTATCCCTCGACAGATGTGTGAGCATCTGTTCCCTCGCCTTCAGTATGGAGGGACTCTATCTGTCTGCCTCAAGCAACACCGAGACGGTTCATATTTTTAAGCTGGAGACCCAGAGAGAGAAGTCAGTGTAACGATGCCCACTAAAATACGTTTTTTTTTTTTTTCAGACGACCTTCTCACTTCTTCCTGTGAATTTGTACATCTTCCTTTTTAATTGATAAAATCCTGTTAGAACATGATTTAAGCATGCATTAACAAGCCATAACATAGGCACATATTTCATTTTTATTTTGCAACCATGTTGTCATTTTCAAACTCATGTTTTTCCATCATAGGCCTCAGGAGGAGCCCACTACTTGGACGGGATACTTTGGGAAAGTATTGATGGCCTCTACAACATACCTGCCTGCACACGTAACAGAGATGTTCACTCAAGGAAGGGCATTTGCTACAGTCAGACTGCCCTTTTCAGGTCACAAGAACATCTGCGCTCTGGCCATGTGAGAAAAAACCATTCTGAAATAGCACACCAGACCTAAGTTTTTAATACGATCTAGATATGCTTTCAGACTGGTTGCTATCAGGGTAGATGTGTCTCTGGTTATCTTGCTTGTGATTGGTTTCTAGAATCCAGAAGATTCCACGCCTGCTGGTGGCTGCAGCAGATGGCTATCTTTACCTGTACAATCTGGACCCACAGGAGGGAGGAGAGTGCACACTAATGAAACAGCATAAGTGAGATCCAGTGTTATCAAGTTGAAACATAATCTATCAGACCATTGGTCTAAATATACACTACAGTTTAAAAACTTCGGGGCCGGTAAGATTTTAAAAGTTTTTTGAAAGAAGTCTCCTTTGCTCACCAAGGCTGCATTTATTTGATCAAAAATACAGTAAACGTATTTTGAAATATTACGATTGAGATAAAACATTTTTTTAAATGTAATTTATTCCTGTGATGTCAATGATGAATTTTCAGCATCATTACTCCAGTCTTCTGTGTTACGTTATCCTTCAGAAATCATAATAATACGCTGATTTGCTGCTTAGAAACATTTCTAATTGTTATCAAAAGTTGCACTACTTAAAGCTGCAGTCCACAGTTTTTCCTCTTTGTCGCCATCTCTGTTTGAAATCTACAATTGCAGTTATTCGCGAAATTATTAACTTTACGTGAGTTGTGCCTCGGCACGGCACAGCGCGGATGAATTCATAATGTTTGAGGAGAGTGTGCGGCTGTCAGTCACCGCGCCGGTGTGGATATAATAATAATACTGTCATTCAGAATCACAGATTATTCTTTTTGGAAGTATGACCAACATAATACTTTTCACCGGAAAATGTCTTCTGAACAAGTAAGAAACATCCACTTTTGTTCTGGTTCTGACCAACTAAGGGAAAAAAAGCATTGTAGTAAATCGCGCTGATTAAATCTAACAATCGCTTATTATGTCACGTAAAACCGTGCAAATTATACTTTGTTCTCAAATTGTTAATGTTCAACATCAGCATTGCGCGACTACATATAATGTCCTTCCGATATGTATCCTTGTTTTCGCATGGGTCGGTTGCAGTCTCTTTTTTTTCTGTAGCCACTCCGAAGTCCGAATGAAGTCTTTTGAATTTTACAGCGAGTGAATCTCCAGTTGTCACTGGTGATTGTCATTTGAATCTTTCTGGATCCGCCATCAAATTTAATTATATCAAGTGCTGTGAGAAAAGGCTATAAATCTCCACCTCCAGCATCCTCACTCGCAATATAGCCTACTAGCCGAGACTCCTTCTTTATGTGTACAGATGTGACGTAATGACGCAAAGACATGCTCGAATCTCCCGAGGAAATCCACCAGTACCACTGGAATTAAAAACATTATTACAAGCTTACCGCTTTGAATCGAGCTAAGGCAAGCAGAGAGTTTTGAACACTGGCTGGTTATGTATTTGCTCAAATGACTTTTTTGGTTATTTAGTATCCTGTATGGTTCACTGAAACCTAAAACAGTATTTGATGCATTGTGCTGGGGAATCCTAACCTGGCCCTAGCCAGATTAATTTCGCTCCGCCTAGCTTCACTCATCCATCTGGAACCGATCCATTGAAATGGCGTTTCAGAAGGCTGGGCCTTATCAAAAATCCTTGCATATGATTGGATAAGCCACTTGTCTGTCATCTTTATCGACGTGCTATTTCAACCACTCACACCGAAGCCAACCCGTGACGCTGAAGAATCCGGTCGGGAGAAGGCACTGATCTATATAACATCGTTTCCACCAACAAAAGCCTTAAGAGCCGTTCTCTGATGTTCTTTTAATGAAACAATATTAGGTAGATTGGACAACACGGATGAAATAGCAGCATCAATGTTAACGCTTGCTTCCTCGATGCGAGCCGCCATTGTTGTCTGAATCAAAACAGTCTCACGGTCGCTTCTCCACTACGTCACATCTATGAAACTACCGCCCTGCGTCCTGATTGGCTAAACCATAAAGTTGGTTGGAGAAATCACTCTCAATGGAAGAGGTTCCAGATGGATGTGAGTGAAGCTAGGCGGAGCGAAATTCATCTGGCTAGGGCCAGGTTAGGGGAATCCTGCCCACACTAAAATCTCTTTGGTCCATAATCCCACTCCATAGCTGAATATTAAATGTCAAATATTTTGTCATTTCAAATGTCATTTCACTCTCAGTGAAACCAGAGCACTTGCTTGACACCCAAGACTTAACACATCATGCCTAGTCAAGACTGTTTTTGAGACGAGTTTACCTTTTTTTTTTTTATCCAACAATATGGTTTTAGTTAAACTGAACTTGGCTTATACATGTTTGTTTAAATTTAGTTTTTTTTGCAGATATTGCAAATATTCCAATTACAGTCTCTAAATTAAAAATAGTTTATATTGGCACTGATCGGCATGTCATGTGAATTACTCCCTACGTTAATGTGTTTCCTACTTTAGGTTAGATGGAAGTGTAGAGCCAGTGAATGAAATTCTTGAACAGACCGCTCACGACCGGCCACTCGTGGCACAGACCTACAGTGCTGCTGTTGCCAAAGGTAAGAAACTGTCATTTTCACTCACATAACAGTGAAGAGGGGGAACAAAGAGTCTACATTTTAAAATGGCCTGCTATTGTTTTCGTTGTCTCAGGTTACACTGAGGATCAGGGGGCAGTCGGGGGTGCTGGAGTGGAGGACGACATGAACACCCTGCACCTGGACGAAGAGAACGAGCAGCCTCCGTTAATCCTGGAAACAGACTGAGCCACTGGCAGAAGATGGAACTGACTGAGTGACATTGCAGAGGGGGGTTTCCTCCTCTGGTGCTGCTATGGGCATGTGTGACCTGATAGAGAAAGGGATTAAAACAGAGATCATTTTAAAGCAAGCCTAGCTGTAGCCTTATTCTGTCTCTTGTTGCGTATAGATGTTTTCCTTCCCCCACCCTTGTGGCTTTGTAAAACTTGTGGATTTTTCTTTGATTTCCTTTTTTTTAATGCCAGGTTAATTTCCTTAATCAGACCAAAATATGAAATCCAAGCTGCAGGTTTCACATCTCTTAGCTTTGCATGTACTTGTGCCAAGAATAGAAATCCTAGAAAACTTTTGCTTTCATGTGGATGGTTCTGATGTGTTTGCTGGCTATTTCTCTTCTTGAACTTTGACAAGCACTTGTGTGGTTGTGCGTTTGTGTCTTTTTCAAATGTGATTGAAAGCGAACTGGCTTGCGCCGCCTGCTACATCACCACACAACTGTGCAGTGTCTGCGATATCCCTTACCAATCATCTGTGGCTCAGTGGCACCGAGATGTGAATTTTTGTCCTGTAATAACAGTATACATGATCTGTTAACAACATGATCTGGTTACAATAACTGGTTTTTACAGTGTTTTTAACTGGCTTAGAGGGTGGATTTTAGTTTTACCCTGAATTACTGCATCTGTAAGTGCACATGCTTTACAAGACTCTATTTTGATTAATCCCATGCCACATTATGGTTAAACAATTTGGCAATGTGGAGGCTGAACCTTTCTTTTTGGCTTTGAATTACCCCTAGTGTCTTCCTTTGGCCTGGACTGATTTCATTGAAGATTTTTTATTATTTTAAGTTCCAAACATTTAAGTAGCCTCAGTAGTAGACACGACTGATGAAGGTGTTTCAGAAGGAACTTTCCAGTGATGAACGTGGTTTCAAGAGGCTGGCAGTCAGTCATCTTGTTTCCAGAACATTTTGTTTTATTCTTAATGAATGAAGAAAGTTCAAGGCCCTGTCTCTTTGATTTATTCTCAATACCAGCAGCGGACGATTGCTTATGACGTGGCAGAGCCTCGTTTTAGGTAGGTTTCAATTTTGAGGGCCTTGTCCTTTGCAAAGAGGGAAAGCATAATATATCTCACTAAAAATATCCTAATCTTTAGTAAATGGTTGCAGCATTCAGCTTGCAAACAGGGAATGTTCTCACAGATTTCCCTGTGGACTGCAGTCTGAATAAACTGGTCACATGGTCTGGCAGTTAAACCAGGACAGGTCAAATGTAAAATCTGAGGTTCTTTTGAAAAATTAGAGGACCAGGGTTTATGAATGTGATTACCAAATATTTACAATACACAAAGTTAGCCAGTGTGTCCAAGCAAACAATATAGGCATTTGGAGATACTGCCTGAATTCTTGGAGCTCTAAAGGATCTTGAGATAATTTTTATGCATGATTGTCTCCTGAGCATGTTTTGAAGTTGCATATCAACAAATGTCAACGTCAGTAAACCCCCCCAATGCCACTTTAATCTGTTTTCTAATGATTTTTGTATAAAAAATGTAAATTGTTCCATATAAAGATTAAATAAATCCTCTGTTGAAAATGTTTTAGGGTCTTAAATTCAATTTAGAGAGTGGTGTGCTGATCTTTTTTGTTCATTATACATCTAATAAGTATTTCAAAGAGAGAGTTGCATTGAAAGTATTGGATTAGCACAGGAAAGCATGTTAAACTCCCAAGTAGTCAAATTTACTTTATTGGTTTCAACGGCAGTTTATTAAAAATCCAATGCAAGGTACCTGCACTAATCAAAGAAAAGCAATCTATGACCAGCATATAAATTCAGACAAATTCTGTTTTTGGTTCATCCAGAACCAGTTTCTTAAATCATCAGTATAAAATCCATAAACCTCTTACACATCAAAACATAATCTTGTAAAAACGTACAGACAGCTGCATTAAAAAGGATTAGCCTATTAAAAAGCAAGCAATTTGAACCTCAGACATTTTGTTCTGGAGTCTTCTGTGTCTAGACAATCTTGAGATCTTTCATTGCAGATTCAAGGGTCTGAAACAGAATTAAAAAGAATTAGTCATCTTTATGCACATTTGCATTTTGACCACTGCTTACCCCAACTAAATAATGATTATGAAATGCACAAGAGTTCAACAAGTTTTACCTTTACATCCCAAATAGCCATGCCTCCATCCATACCAGTGGTGCAGAATTTGGCACACTTGGCTTTTCCCCCATTAAGGATTGAGATTTGGCTAAGAAGTGAACAAGAAAATGTTTTTTTTTTAAGACACAAGACTGTAATATTAGTGATGGTGACGGTGAAGTCATTCGACCATGGTGTAGTTGGTTTATTTCGTTTTTTACTTTTGTCGATTGAATTTAGGCTTCAAAATGCTTCAAAATTGTGTTCTTTTGTAAAGTTTATCACGAGGAACAGGCTGTACCTGATGCTGTTCTTGTGCACAGACTCAAGGACTGCTTCCTTGCTGTCCACAGAGGCTTTCTTATCCAAGTTCTGGAAGCGTTCCCTGGCTGTCATGCCCTTCTGAGCACTCTGTTTGGGCACGTCAAGTTTTCCTCCGAAAGACAGGGCTGCTTTGTTTGAATCGTAGACAAACAACACAGGGTAGCAGTCGTGGCCCTGAAAAGATATGAAAATCAGGGGACAATCTAAACAGATTACCTTGTCATCAAGGTCTGACATCTGAAGATACTTACAGCGGCCACTAGGCTGTTCTCAGTAATGAAAGTCACGCACAGAAGAGGCAAGGTTTCAGAAGATAGACTGGCGCAGCTGGCAAGATAAAAGGAAATAATTGGGTACATAGGATTTTTTTAAAGGCAAAAATATGGAGGGCCAGATTTGAAAGGCAATCCTCACACAGCAGTCTTTCCTCCCTCGGCCACTGCCACAGTGCTGTCATGGCTGGCCCAGGCCACGCGATTCCCGCTGTCCGAGAAGCAGACGCCATGCACCCAACCTGCAGTACCAGTAGATTCGAACATGACCTCTCCAAATGGCATTTTAGAGCCCCATGCTGTTGGAGCAGGCTTCTCTTCTACTTCCTTTATGTAAGCAGAGAAGATCCTGGATGGGGATTAAACAGACGGAAGTTCATGTAATGGCCATATTCATAAATTATAATGCAGATCAGAATCAACCTAACCTGCATTTAAAGTCACATGATCCAGCTGCCAAAAGGACGTTATTGGGGTGCCAGTCCAAACAAAGGATGGTGGAGCGGATGGGCTTCTTAATGTGCTTGCACACCCACCTAGAATAATGAGAAATTACTTTAAGCATTTTAGATACACCCAGTAATAACAGATATTACGGGGGTCCCAAACACGCGGCCCCTGTCTGCTACGCCATTGTTTCCACCCCGTGGAACAAAAATACTATTAAAATTAACTGTGGAAAAATACCTTATATTAAATATCTTTATACTAACTGAATCCTATTGATACAAAGTCTGTGTTCAGTGTTTTACATTATGTACAGTTTAGCATTTTGATATTAATTTACATAAAAACTAAATATAATATCTTCATCTCTTACCCCTCTTATTATCTTCGGGGTCTTTTCGACCTTTCGAATGACATTTGGTCAATTTTTAAAAAATGTTCTCTTTGTCCAAATGGTATGAAACTTTCTACGACTCTTAACACTGTCTAGATCTACCAAAAAAAAAAAAAAAATTTGGAATGATATCTGTTTTTATGTTAGCGTGAAAAAAATGCCAACACTCTATCTTCGGGGTCCCTGGAGAGTGAAGACCCCGCATAGTAAACATACAAAATTCATCATCAAAATCAGAAACAACGCAGATCACATAGACAGAAATAAAGTGGCACACTTCCAACAATGCAAAAAAAAAAAATCCACAATGCACACACACACACACACACACAGTAATACATTTGTAAGGCTATACTATGCATACTGCCTGCAGTGCACTGACGCATAAACACCTGCAGTGCACTGTAAACAAGACTGTATGAGATGACCGCCAATTATTGTTCCTAGTTGTTCGATTTTTTCCACATTCACTGTTTTTTTAACTAAATTTGATTTTTTTTTTACTGCTTTATTTGCTCATTTGTTATTGCTGTTCAGTTCATTGCATTTTGCAATATGTAATATAACTGTTAATTTCTGTAATTTTTTGTTCTGTTACAGTTAGTTAAATTGTAGAATTAAAATTGTAGAATTATATTAAAAACAGATGATTGAAATAAATGATCAAATCTAAAGACCTCCAACATTTGGAGTCTTGTTCAGGTTTGATTCTAAGCATAATGTAACATTATTGAAAAACTTTTGTCAGTACAAAAAATGCTAAACTTTGACAAAAAGTTTTTTTGTTTTTTTTTGTTATAATTGTGATTTTATAATATTTAGATATGAATCCAACTGGAAAAACTTGAGAAAAGATATATAGTTTGGTTAATCACATAGCAAATAGCATAATAGTGGAGCTCTATAGCCATCTAGTGGTTAAAGTGAATTTTTTGTTTATTTTAAAACTGCATTTTCTTACATTAAATCATTTAAAATGATCCATGTTATCCCCATAAATGAAAGTTAGAAATCTGGGTCTTTTATAAAGTAAATTTGACATAAAATGCTGTTTTTTGTAAAAAAGCCTATTTTAATAAATAAATATTTATTTATTTATTTATAGAAATTTAAAAGATATCAAAAATCCTCCCAAAACTGCACAAATGTTGAGTAAAAACATTAATAAACAGAGTAAAATTACATTTGTAAAAAAAAAAAATTATTATACTGTTACAAAATTAAATGTTATTGTCTGGGGTCCCTGGAGACCCCAAAGATAATGAGTGTAGACACAAATGAAGATAATAGAAGGGTATGTATTACACAATGAAATTAGACTACCTCTGTGCTGATTAATTTTCCGCTAATTCCTTTTTTTGTGAACTGATGGTATCTGTGCAAAGAATTGTGGGTGAATGGACGATGTGAAGGATACACTCGATGCATCCTTCAAAATAAGCCAAATGAAGGACAATGGCTGCCATCCACTTCAAATTGAGAAGGCCTTTAAAGGAGCTTGATGACGTGGTAACCTAAATGCAGCCTTACTAGTACACAGCTTTCGAATTGAAAAGCACCCACTGATTCATTCAGTAATTGCACAAGTCAAGTGAGTTATAGAATCATCCACTAAAAATTATTTGTTCAAAAACACTGACTCCTTCAGGAACTAAACAAGTGACCGTTGCTGAATTCGGAACTACATACTACTACTCTTACTACTTTTGCCATATTTTTCCATGGCAGAAATAGTATGAGTCTAATATGAAGTATCAAATTCAGCATGGTTGACTGGGTCATTAAACCATGATTCATTGAAAAACACGGATTCGTTCAGGAATGAAACAAGTGAGTGAAAATCAAGTGAACAAGTGAAAATCATTCGTTAAAAAGATTAATTTAGGAATGCCACCACCACTGTGTTGATCTATAAATTCCGCCATGGATAGCTGTGGCTTTGTCTATTCTCAGTCAGCCAACAAAAATAGATCCAGCTACTGGCAATTGTGTGTCTGTGTAA